TCAAGGTGCCCAAATGTGGTCTGCCATATTTCGTGCGAAAGGATTCACTCCCAATTTCGCGGAATGGTGGCTCACTTGTGATTTCATGACGAATGGCTCTCCTCGGGTGTGTCCACTTGTGCCTCCTGCTGCAAATGTGGCCCAGGCCATGTTTGAAACTCTTGTCCTGGCTACTCGGTCGCTTGAAGCACAGTTGACCAAGAACTCTCGCCAGTATGCCAAGCCCCGCCGAGCGCAGAATCCGAATGTCATTTTTCAGGATGTCAAAGAGCCGTCTCAAGGTGGTCCAGAGATCCTTGCTCGCTCCTTGATTGCTGAAATTGAACATGTTGACCCCGCCCAGCTTATGGTGTCCTTGTCTCATGCCCAGGAGTGGTCTGACCAACCTATCCTGTGTAATGGCAAGCCCTTGCCGGTCATTCATGCTGATCATGATGGTATTTGGCTTGAATCGGTTGATGGTCTGACTCCAGGTATGTCGGTCTCCCAAGTCCAAGTCCAAGGCACGGTTCCTGAGCTGTCCGAGGAATTTTTGTCAACTTGGAAGCAAAGATGGCAGCGACATGTAGACATTCCTGCTGAGCGATGGAATGAGATTGTCCTCTTTGCCAAACAGCATCTCCCTGCAGGGTCATTTGCCTGGCCTACCCTTGATGCCCCCAGCCTGAAAAGCATGATCAAAGCCAAGAAGTCTCGCACTAGTGCAGGACCTGATGGTGTCAGCATCCAAGACTTGAATGCAATGCCAGAGGATGCTCTTGCGAATTTCTGCTCTATGTTTGAAATGGCGGAGGCCACTGGCCAGTGGCCCTCTCAGGTGATCACGGGTCGTGTGTCTTCCATTGCCAAAACGGCATTTCCACGTAGCGCCTTGGACTTTCGTCCGATTACTGTCCTAGGTCTTCTCTATCGCTGCTGGTCTTCTTTTCATGCACAAGTTGCGTTGCGTAAACTTGATTCCAGCCTGCCTGCTGACCTTGCTGGTAGCCGGCCTCACCGGCACGCCGGTCAAATCTGGGCTAGCCTGCTTTGGGACTTGGAAAATGCATATGCCATCCAAGGTGACTTGGGGGGGTTGTTGCTGACCTCCAAAAAGCCTTTAATCACTTGCCTAGAGCAGCGGTCATGGAGATTTGTGCTCATGTTGGTATCCCTACGAACCTCTTGCTGGGCTGGACGGGTGCGCTGACAATGATGGCGCGACGTTTTCAGATCAGGGATCATCTTACAGCTCCCTTGTTTAGCTGCACGGGTGTTCCGGAGGGATGTGCTCTCTCATGCGTTGCAATGCTGATCATTGATTGGACTCTCCATGCCTGGTTCCACGTCCATGTGCCCCTTGCACGCCCATTGACCTATGTGGATGACTGGCAGGTTGTCACGACTGACAGCACACAGCTTGGCTCTATCATGGATCACTTGGTCCGCATTGCCGAGATGTTTGACTTGTTGCTTGATGAAAAGAAAACGTATAGTTGGTCCATCTCTGCCAGTGGACGATCGCATGCACGAGGCCTTGGTTTTCGAGTTGTCAGTAAGACCAGGAACTTGGGTGCCCACATCCAATATACCCGCCAGCACACCAACTCTGTTCAAGTTGAGCGTGCTCAAGCTTTGTATGGCATTTGGCCACGTTTGCGAGTTTCTGCCAGCCCGTATCGCCAAAAACTCAGGGCTATTCTGATGGCGGCATGGCCGCGTGGGCTGCATGCCATTGCAGCCACTACACTGAGTTCCCAATGTTTTCAGTCGCTCCGTGCTGGTGCATTGCGGGGGTTGAACGTTGACGGAGCTGGATGCAATGCGCATCTTCATCTTGGCCTTGTTGAGATGCCGACACATGACCCCCAGTTCTGGGCCATCTTGAACACGTTTTGCTTCATAAGAGACTGTAGTGATGGTGCCTATGTTCAGCATGCGTTGGCCTCATTGGTGTCGGGTGAATCCTCAGTCCCGGACAATAGCTTCAGCTCCACTCTCCTTGCGAGAATTCAAACTTTGGGATGGCATGTCACTAGCTCTGGTTCGCTGAGTGATAAATTTGGGTGTTTTTCTCTTCTCAATGCCTCGAAGCAAGAGATTGAATTCCGAGCGGCTAGGGCATGGCAGGACGTGATTGCTGCCGAGGTTAGTCATCGAAAAGGCTTCCAGGAATTGCACAGAGTTGATCCGATGCATGTGCGAAAGTGGCTGCGTATGCTCTCGAGTAGTGATCGTGGCCTTTTTCACAAAATCTTGAATGGTGCTCATTTTACTCAGGGTGTGGTCTCCTTCAGTCAGCAAGGGGTTGGGAAAGAATGTGCCTACTGTGGCTCGACAGATAGTAGGTACCACCGGTTTTGGCAATGTGAGTTTTTCCATGAGCAGCGTGTCATGCTTCCCCAGTCATTGAGGGAGTTGATTCCTCGCCTTCCTGAGGTGCTGACGTCGTTCGGCTGGTCTCTCCGGCCCCACACAGATTTTGAATGGCAGACAGTTTTTGCACAATGTGATATTCATCCTGCTCCGAAACTTCAGGTGCCTGGAGATGACATTGTTAATTTTTTCACTGACGGAAGCTGTATGTTTCAACATGACCAAGATTGTCGGTTTGCAGCTTGGAGTGTAATTTTTGCGCCCTCCACTGCCACAAGCACTGATGAGTGTCAGGTTGTTGATTCAGGGGTCCTCCCTGGCCTTATTCAAAGTGCATATCGTGCAGAAGTGTTTGCAATCCTTCGTGCCCTTGAGAGTTGCCAGCAGGCCCCCAATAGGGTTTGCGTTTGGTCTGATTGTGAAGCTGCAGTTAAGCGTTTGCGAAGATGCATTCAAGGAAAGTTGCCAAGAGTAAACAGTCCCCACGCTGATTTGTGGACTGCAATTTTTCATCTCATTGCGCAGTACCCGCCAGGACATGTTTGTGTTTTCAAAGTTGCTGCTCACTGTCGTGAGCTTGAAGCTGCAAACTGCGTGGAGGAATGGTGCCATCGTAATAACAATTTGGCTGACAAGACAGCGGTTCGTGCCAACTTCTCGAGGCCCCCTTCCTTTTGGGCATTGCTGACAGCACACCTTGAAGCTTTGCATTTTGCCAGGGAAATTTCTAGGCAGGTACAGCATGTGCAATTGGCCATTAGCAGGGTTCAAGTTAGATACACTGAAGATGTGGAGGTTCCTACTGCCCCCATACATCATGATCCGGTGCCACAGTGGAATGTTGATGTGACTTTTGAGAGGCTCCCAGGAGCTGCAGCGCGATGGTACGGGCAACGTATTGTGCGGCTTCTGGCTAGTTGGTTCCTACAATGCCTTGATCCTTGTTCTTCCCCTGTGGTTTGGGTTTCCCATTATCAGCTATACCTTGATTTTCAGATGGCCACAGGCGAGGTGGGTCCCATCCACCTTAAGACGTGGGCTGACGGTTCGGCTCTCCCATTGATTGGTTTGCGTGACCTTCCTTTCAAACGGCGAGCTCGCTGGTTTATAAAAGTGATGCGCGAAATTTTGAGACACATGAATATTTCGATCATCATGAAGACTGGCCGACCGGCTTCCGAATCCATAGCCATGCACACAGGTATTTGGGCTGTTCCTTGGCCTCGATGGCGCATTGATTTGGTGGATGTTTGGCTCAGCGAACGATTGTCTGCAGCAGCCACACGGGGGGGGAAGGCTCTGGATTCTCTCCCGTTGGCTGCCAGGTGTGGATCTTTGCCTGATGTCGTTTTGACATCTGCGTGTTTCTGAAACCGCCCAAGACGGGCTGGTATCGCGAGACTATGCCAGCCCGCAAAGCAAATGGGGACAAATGGTGGTTTGGAACATGAATTTTATTTTCCATATATTGGGAATGTCATCATCCCAACTGACTTTCATATTTTTCAGAGGGGTTCAAACCACCAACCAGATATGTATTGATGTGTGCCAAAAGATATGAACTAAGCCCAAGCAATAGCGAATGGTCCCATCCCCAAAGATCCCCCTGTGCTGTAAAAATGCCTTTAGCATATGCAAAAACAATGCCCTGAAGGCGTGTAAACAGGCCATGCCAAGCCAATGGGGACATCGTTGAATTGTCACCAAAAGCCAATGAAGTCAGATTTCTGAAGGCTCATGAATGATGAAATGGTGGATATATGATGATATTAATGGCCCATAGATGAGTTCTGGGAGGCGTCATTTTAAGGGTCCTGGATTTGAACATCCTCAACTCATCCTTTGGACCTGCAGGCATAGTTAAGCAGACCATGACATGGGCACGGGACCAGGCATTTTCCCAGAATGTGCTGCCTCTTACTGTAGTCAGAAGTTGGTTTGTTTTCACCCCCCAAACTACAGCTAGATTTCCCACGGGCACTAGTCAACCCTTCTTAAGACTGTAACTACAAAACAATATATACTATACATAGCTATGGGTTTAGCATCAACCCTAATCAAGCTACTTAAGCATTGTTGTTTTCCACCCTTTGCGAATGCTCATTTAGTTTTTTGGAAAACCACCAAATCGAACTAAGTGGGCCATTTTCCATAGCTATGTTTACTGGAGAGTATTTCAAGATGTCTTTGTGGCCAATACAAATTGTGGCAACTTTCCCAAGTACATCCAGCTTCCTTCCACTATTACATGCCTGTCAGAAGTGGTTGCAACACATCATAATCCTGTTGACGTGTTGGGGCCCATGGAGGACCTCATGGAGGACAATCCCACTTTTTAAGACCTGGTGGACCATCACACTGGTGCGCCTGCGTCCCTGCTTCGTGGTTTATCCCACATACACATTGCTTATAACATCTCATGACTATAGTTACTATATAGTTTGCATAGATCCTACGAGTTGGATGAATTTGGAGGATCCTCCAAACATCTCCGGAAAAAAATAGTTCAATAGTAACCATAACTATAGTTGGGTCAAAAAGCTCTAGTTGGGTTACTATACTTCGGTTAATTACTATAGTTTGGTTACTATAGTAACCAACAAGTCATATATAGTTTGGTTACTCAATGTTCCCCAGTCGCCCAGGAGTTTGATGCGAACTTGGCGATTTGCCCCGCTGGAAAGCTCTGTATCCGTCCGCCCTACGGCCTCTCGGGTTGAGTTGACCATGTTCAATGTTTACCCATGAGTCAATGAGCATGTCAATCCTGGTTGGTGGTTTGGAACATTAAATTTATGACTTTCCATATGTTGGGAATGTCATAATCCCAACATGTCCCAACTGACTATCATATTTTTCAGAGGGGTTGAAACCACCAACCAGAATCTAACGTGGGATGTACCAAGTTAGAGGCTGATGACATTTTTATGCATGATTTTATGCCTGTAGCTGCCCTAATAAATCAACTAAGTTGATTAATCCAGACATGATATTGTTTTGAACAAAATCGGCATTCTGATTTCTAGGCAAGGCACGTGGAAAGTTTGTTGCCAACAATCTAGGACTGGGAATTCCATGAACAGACCTGGGGTTCTTAGCTTCACACTTTTAAGTACTTTAAGTGACCCAAGGGTTCCACTCGCAAACTACTCTCTGGTTATTTAACATAGCCATAGAAAATCACCATTTTTAAGTTCGGTAAACCATCTGTTTCTATGGGCCATTTATACCATGGCGAACTGTTAGTCATAACCAGAGGGTACATCACCCTCCAGTGCGGTGGCTGATTCCAGACAGAGACAGACTGCGGCTCCAGGATGTTGCGACGCTCATGTTTTCCCTGGTCTAGCGTCGATCTGTGATTATTCAAGATTTGGTCCAGATAAAGTCATATTATTTAGTAATGTAATCTAATCCAATCTAATCTAATCTAAATCTAATCTAACCTAATCTAAATCTAATCTAATCTATCTATTTATTTATCTATCTCTGTGTGTGTGTTAGATTCATTACATTCCATGACTGCCACAGAAAGGTGTTTGATGACTATCCCCGCCATGTCCCGAGGAAAAACACCTTCATCCAGCACGTCGCGCTTCCCCTTCATCCGACGCTTGAGTGAGGAGGCGGAAGAGGCAGACGGAAAAAGGGAGTTCTTGCTGGGGATCACGCTGCGGTACTTAGTAAGGCTGCAATCGTTGTGGTTGTTGTTGTTGCTGCCGTTGTTATTTCTGATGAGTATAGCATGATTTACCACCATTGTGACAACTTCAAGAAGTTGGGATAGGGGCCGGGGCGCCTATAATTATCCGATACTCCCATTTAAAAGAACTTTATACGTGGAACTGCACCCACAAGCAAACGCAATGACACACACACACAACACGTGTCAAAAGTAAAGTTTCAGTATCAAAGTGATCAATGATGGATGGTTGCAGCATGTTGAGTCAGTTTTTTGCGACCGTACCACCCCATATTTCTGCGATGTTTCACGGTTAACAGCACCACATGTTTGCCTTTAAAGTTGTTCCATGAACAATCAAAGTAATGCTCGTTGAGTAGAACATTTTATCTTGATCCGGTGCCCATTTGATTCATTGGTGAGCCCCACAGCAAGCCTATTTTTTGAGTCAAATCTATTGAACCAATAGGAGTGGCTGAGAATGTATGATATATTTATTGGAATTCCATCGGTCATTTATTTTAGGAATGGTCAATATGATCAATCATATAGATATGATATATTGGTTCGAATACTTATAACATTATGAAAAAACATATTAGGAATTCCACTTTCTGTTGGCTAAAACTCATGAAGATCTGGCATGTTCTTTTTGTCTACCTTGCATGGGTAGTTCAGTACATATTTTGGCTATGAAGTGGATTACAATGGATTATATATGTTTATATATACGTATAAATACATATATTACATATAGTCATTATATACACCTAACATATAGTCATTATATATATATATATGTGTGTGTGTACATATAGTCATGTTTGTTTAGTACATATAGTCACATATAGTCATTATTATCAATATATAATATATTCCAGTGATTATATTAGGAACACACACATATATATAATATATATATATCATATCAAATGTAAAGCACCTAATATATAAAATATCCAAAAAATTACATATTCAATGGATTTGTTTAATAGGGAAAATCTTAACCGGAAACCATAGATTTTCCCATTAAGATCATGGGGTTTTCCGGTTAAAATTTTCCCTTAAACCAATCCATTGATATACCATATCCCATTCATATCCCATTGAATCACTATAAAATTCGATTAAATCATTGTAAAATCCATTAATATACCCATTGATATACCATTGCCAGTGATCGTATGGTTTTTCTCATCCTGTCTACAGCGGCCAGGCTCCCTCTGAGGAGCGGCGCTTGCGGCTCGCCACCGTGCCCAGCAGCGTGGAGATCCAAGCGTGTCCCGCAGGTGGGGACGATGGATAAGATGGGACGTTTTGAGAAAAGGGATGGACATTAAAATCCATTTTTAGTATAGTTTGGTATGTATATATTAATATATATATATATATATAATGCGCAATTTCTTTTAATATACAATTATATATATATACTACATTATATTTGATTTATATAATTTTTGTTATAATCTGATAAAATAAATGGGCTACTATATAAGTTTAAGTATAATATACGGATATATAATCTATCCACTGATTTAGATAGGAACTGTTGGAGTTAGGGGTATCCATGTTTCCTATGACATAGGGAGTGTCATGGTTGCAAACCTGCTGTGTAATACTTGAATATTTTGCCACAACAGAGAGAGAGAGAGAGAGTGACCACCTAAACAAAGTGGAGAACTGGATTCAAACTATCACGGTATTTAGGTCAATGTAACATGTGTCCGACTACAAGTTTTTTTCTCAAGAGGATCATTGAGACGCAAAGACATATGGCTGTGGGAGGAAAGTGTGGGCCATTGATTTCGCGGATCATGACCCACTACCAAACCCTCGAGAGGGAGGTAAACCTTGGTTCAATGGATATTCCTGAATTGGTTCGGCAAGGGTGGGGAGTAAATCACGACCAAAGATGGGGCTAGAACTTGGGAGGGTAAATCGCCGGCAAAAGGGAGAACCAACTACCAGAGTCCGCCAGATCGCCTTCAGCCTTGCTGAACTTGACTAGATGTCGATGGGGGGAGAGAGAGAGAGAGAGAGAGAGATGGTCCCTAAGTTGGGTCTTTCAGACATCCAACGTTTGCATACATTTACATTCATGCTGAAGTAGATAGGATATGGAATTGACCATGATATTCTCAAAAGCACATATCTTCTCCAGGGTGATTCGACGACAAACCGACAACCCCTGAACTGGATGATCGGACCATTTACAGGAAAACCCTATATTTGTTTGCCGGTAAAAAACTATGGTACCCAATCCAGTGAAAAGTGGTTCCCCATTACCATCTGGTTATTTAACATAGCCATAGAAAATCACCATTTTTAAGTTCGGTAAACCATCTATTTCTATGGGCCATCATTTTCCATGGCTATGTTAACCAGAGGAAAAAAATCATGATACAGTAGATCTGCGGTATCACCAGTCTTGTCGCGTAGGCTATTTCTGCCCACCGGGATCGATCGCACAACTGGATCCCTTCACGGGCGAATTGATCTATGTGTCGCCTATGGCCTGTACTCGCCTGGGCATCGTGTGACCTGGCGACTCTGAGCTGGGACAAGTGGTGGGAAGATGAGATCTGATCTGTGATGATCAAAGGATGCAGGGAAGGAGGGTTGGAATTTAACTGAGCATTTAAGATTCTTATTTTTTAACACAAATAAAAATCCATAGTCAATAGCCATAGCCTAAATATCTTTATATATATGTTTCTGTTAAATCTTGATATTATGTTTGTGTAATGCCCACTTCACACACTCGGCTGCTTTGACAGGGGTAGTGACGTATTTTGACACAGAATCTGACACATGTTTGACATGCATGCTGACCTAAGTTCTACCGTATTTCTTGGCATATCATTTGGTATGTTTTATGCACATTTACTTGACAATAATTGACATAAATGATTTGGCGTAAATAATGACGGACATCAAATCTAAAGACACGTTCCTGGCATGTGGAGAAACATACTTTTGAGGTTTGTTTCAGAAATTCAATTTCCTAGTTCCAGTCAAATCAGGTTTGATTTACCATTGCAGACTTGTTTTTTCGTAGTGAAAAATTTTTTGCACATTTCCACTGTGGGTATTTTTGTTAGTGGCAGCTGGTGACAGAACCACTGTCTAGCAACACCTTGTTCACCAACTGTGGACCCGCCGTTCTCTTTGGTAAATTCAACCCCTTTTGAAGCATCTTCAAGTTTTACTGCACGGTGAAGTCTCTGAATTCAAAGATTACGATGATACCCTCTGGTTATTTAACATAGCCATGGTATAGATGGCCCATAGAAATAGATGGTTTACTGAACTTAAAAATGGTGGATTTTTCCATGGCTATGTTAGTCTTAACCAGATAGTAATGACAATGTTCACTAAGTAGATCAGGACCACCAGTCTCTAACCAGTGAAGCTCATCATGTTCATTGGGAGTTTCCCATTGATTTGAGCTTCCCTTGACAGGCAGGTGTATATTTATATATATATGTGTGTGTGTGTATAGTTAGGTTGGTTTAAAGCCAACAAATATAACTAGGCGAGATACTCTCCGGTAATTTATGGAAAATCACATTTTTTGTCGGTAAACCCTTGTAAATCATCTCTAAAATGAACCATGTTTCATAGCATATATATATATATATATATTTCATCCCACATCCCCAGTCTTGGATAGGGAGTTTAATCCTTTATTCTATGGAAACTCACATATCACCAGATTAAAATATGTTTTTTCTTTGTTGATTATTAAAAATTGAACATGCTGTTACTAGATGTGAGTTAAATCCCCATAAATCAACTGGTTGGTGGTTTGGAACATGTTTTATTTTTCCATATATTGGGAATAATCATCCCAACTGACTAATATTTTTCAGAGGGGTTGAAACCACCAACCAGATCATGTATAGAATGGATCATTCTTCATAGCTTTAATGTCAAATTACATCAGATCACCAAACGGTAAAGGAAGAGACCTGGGGGCCCTTCAGGATTGGGCCCCCCAGTTATAATGTGGTTTAATCATTAAAACCCCAATTCATATAGTTCGTTATATCTATCATAAACCACAGTTTTTTCAGCATTTTTTTTTCAGGCAACGTGAGGCAACTGAACGCGAGCTCGAAACTATCGACTGGGGGCCCCTCACCATCTCTCCCGAGGTGCTCCGAGGGTTCCTTCAACCCGCTCTCCATTGACGTCATCGCCGGGCCCGGGGAGTACGTTGCGCCCGACGGCAGTGGCGTGCTGCCGTGTCCTGTGGGGATGTCCTGTCCTGGAGGATGCGGCGGCCACGAAGGGATGGACGGATCTTATGTCCTGTATAAATGGGCCTTAAATGGGCCTCAAATGGGCCTTAAATGGGCCTTAAATGGGACGAACCAACCGCAACATAGCTGTAATTCTGGTGGTTATATATATATATATCATTATATAAGCCAGTTATAACATGTTATAACTGTCAATGGCTATTGCTGTGATGGTCACCTCCCTAAGAAATTGTGAATTTTGAGGGATAGACTCTCCGAAGGTTTTCATTTACCCTCCGGTCATCAAACGTGGCTTGAAAATCACCCCATTTTGTAACCGATGATTTTTGCAGCTTAAATCTCCGTCATTTGAAGGAGATTTCCCATATGTTTCCTCTATTTTCCCATGATTTTCCCATTGGGTTATCGAAGGTTTATAGTTTCCCCAATATTTTCTCCAATAGAATGCGGTTCATTTTCCCTAAATATCCTATAATATGGTTGTTTCTCCAGGGATTCCCAGCTAGCATGTTTGAGTACACTCTGGTAATTTAACATAGCTATTGAAAATGGCAATTTATAGTGAGTTTTCCCATAAAAAATGGTGATTTTTCATAGTTACGTTAGTTTACCAGAGGGTACCGAAGTCGTCCAGGACCAGGCTTCCTCCTGCCATCACCATGTCCTCCCGGTCAGTACCAGCTCAGTTCGGGAGCTGCTCGGCTTTTGTGCCGGAGTGATGTGTTTTCCAATTTTTTTGGTGGGAAAAATGGTGGTTACCCTCTGGTAAACTAACATAGCTATGGAAAATCACCCTTTTTTATGGGAAAACTCACTATAAATGGCCATTTTCAATAGCTATGTTAAATTACCAGAGGGTAAACATCAAGAAAATGGGGGTGAATGGTGTATTCGTGGGAAAAAAATGGCATTGAAATCGATTTGTCATGGGTATACCATCGATCTAAATGCGCAAAAAAATCCATAAGTAGCTATGTTAGGTTGCCAGAGGGTACAGCTAAACATGTTGGCGATGTTGACCAGAGGGTTCATCAGCCTCACCAGCTGTCAGCTGTTGGTGTTTTGTTGGGTTTAGGGTATCTAAATTTGGGCATTTTCATAGCCCATGACGGATCCATGGTGCTGGTATATGTGCTAACATGACTGGGGTATATTGATGGGATCCATGTTACCATTAATATAGCATACATGAATCCTATGGGGTGGGAACTTATCACTATTTTGAAGAGAGCCCCCCAATGAACTAGGTCAACTAGGTCCATGAATCGGGGTTTGTTCAACATCTTCATCATCCCTCCAGTACAAAATGATGCCGGCCAGATCAATTGGCTTATAACTTTCCAAGTGGTCAATGTCCAGTGAGAGAGAGAGAGAGAGTGAGAATAGAATAAGATATGCCATAGTAGCTCATAGCTACTGTATGTTACCTTTTCTCCAGCACACATCAGCATTTAAGGATAGCATGTGAAGGCCGATAGCATAGTGAGGATGTGATTTGAACCCTGGGTTACAGCATGCTGTGAGAACGAGACTGAATCCAACGGCAGAGTAGCCATGAAATTGGTATATTTTGTTCCCCTAACATTAAGTGCCTCTGAAAGAAACACTGATTCAATATTGGATTGACTTGGGACTTGCTAGAATTCCTTGTTTTTCATCAAGTTTCATCAGTTTTCCACTTGGGAAGCCAGCGAGTAAAGCATCCAAATTTCACCCGAAATGGTGATTAGAATCCCGCCAAATTGGGAGTTTTACAGCGTTGGGTTTAACACAGCCAGAATCATCAACTCTCCCTTCGTAGTCCCATTTGATGGTGAAATTCCCCCTTGCATACCCTCTGGTAAACGTTTACATAGCTATGGAAAATCACTATTTTATAGCTGGGTAAATCCAATATAAATGGATATAAATGGGCCATTTTCAATAGCTATGTTAGTTCACCGGAGGGTAGTTGAATTCCCATGTTTTTTCCCATGGTTTTTGGTCGAAGCTTCGCCCCCCGAGGCGCCCGATTGCTCCACCTGCACCGCGGGCACCATATGTCCCGGTTTCGGTAGTGCCCTGCCCACCTTGTGCCTTTCGGATGCACAAAGCGCAAGCGTCGCCACCGTGGTACCCCCCACATGGATGTAAGGCCTTTGTAAGGCCTATGTAAGGGGATATACCCCCAAAATATGGCCTTATATGGCACACTACCTCCATTTTAGGATCCTGGAATTCCCATTGATCAGACTGCAAATGGTGGTGGAGTATGGTTCAGTAGCTGGAATCAGTTTGTGGGTGTGACCTACTTTTGCTTTGGCAATTCTGCTTGGGAAACGAATACATTCAATGCTTAAACGGTAAAACTCCCTTGCAGGCCATTGAATTTGTCCAGGCAAGGCCTGGCAATATGATGCCATCTCCTAGCGGAGTAAAGTTCGGCCATATCCTCTGGTAAGCTAACAGTTTTTCAGTTTGCTATTGAACATTGCCATTTAAATGATTGATTTGCCTAAAAAAACATGATGAAATTTCATAGTTGTGTTATGTTAGTTTGCCAGATGGTAAATGGATCACTGAACAAATATTTTGCAGGACATGTATGGTAGGTCATGAAGAGGGAAGTGTTGATGAAAATCGGCCCAAGACGTGCTGATTTTGAGCACAGACTCAGCAAAGATTGATGCAACAGCAGACCTGATCACCACCCCATCCGTCGTCCAAGCACAAAGTAAATCCCATACTTCCCGTGTCCATTTCTTTCTCCTAGCCGCTTAGTGTTTTTGCACACTATCTTGCTGATCACCTATTGAAACCATTGATCATTGATCCCCAGAAGATACAGTCTCAGGTTGGTGGTTCCAGATATGTCGCAGGCCCCGTCCCAACCAGGTTTTGACCAGTGCCGGCAAAGCCCGGTGTCCATCACGGAGGTTGAACAGATGTCGACCAGTGCTCCCTGCAGTTGCGGCTATGTGGTGCCCAATAGTGACTCAGACCTGATTGGTCTTCACGTACTACGACTGAATGGTGAAGGGTTTATGTTGAAAGTTAGTTCTTGCTCTTTGGGTTGCGAAGTACATCGGCTGGTCTCAAAGCAGTTTCAACCAAAGAAAGGCGAACAACTCACCTTGCAGTACCTTGGTGCGCAGCTCATGCTCCATCAAACACTGCAAGAGCAAGGCATTGTGGGCAAAGAAGAGACACTCTCTTGCACTTTTGTTCCAACAGATTTGTACGCAGCCTACTGTTTCATCCAGAGGCAAGGATCTCCAGTCCCTGAGGGAGAGTTTGTTCTACAGGGGATCACGCAGATCGTAGGTGCAACTGCTGTACAGTTTGATCTTCTCCCACAGACTCTTGAAATGTTGTCATTTGGCGAGCACTCCAACCAGAGCCTAGAAGGAGTGAACCTGCCAAGCAATCTTAAGAGCTTGACATTCGGCCATAGATTCAACCAGAGCCTAGAAGGAGTGAACCTGCCAAGCAATCTTCAGAGCTTGACATTCGGCTGGTGTTTCAACCAGAGCCTGAAAGGAGTGAACCTGCCAAGCAATCTTCAGAGCTTGACATTCGGCCATGCCTTCAACCAGAGCCTGGAAGGAGTGAACCTGCCAAGCAATCTTCAGAGTTTGACATTCGGCGATGACTTCAACCAGAGCTTGGAAGGAGTGAACCTGCCAAGCAATCTTCAGAGCTTGACATTCATATTCGGCAGTAGATTCAACCAGAGCCTGGAAGGAGTGAACCTGCCAAGCAATCTTCAGAGCTTGACATTCGGCTGGTGTTTCAACCAGAGCCTGGAAGGAGTGAACCTGCCAAGCAATCTTCAGAGCTTGACATTCGGCAATGCCTTCAACCAGAGCCTGGAAGGAGTGAACCTGCCAAGCAATCTTCAGAGTTTGTCATTTAGCGATGCCTTCAACCAGAGCCTGGAAGGAGTGAACCTGCCGAGAAATCTTCAGAGCTTGACATTCGGCTGGTGCTTCAACAAGAGCCTAGAAGGAGTGAACCTGCCAAGCAATCTTCAGAGTTTGATATTCGGCCATGACTTCAACCAGAGCTTGGAAGCAGTGAACCTGCCAAGAAATCTTCAGAGCTTGACATTCATATTCGTCAGTAGATTCAACCAGAGCCTAGAAGGAGTGAACCTGCCAAGCAATCTTCAGAGCTTGACATTCGGCAATGCCTTCAACCAGAGCCTGGAAGGAGTGAACCTGCCAAGCAATCTTCAGAGCTTGACATTCATATTCGGCAGTAGATTCAACCAGAGCCTGGAAGGAGTGAACCTGCCAAGCAATCTTCAGAGTTTGACATTCGGCGATGACTTCAACAAGAGCCTGGAAGGAGTGAACCTGCCAAGCAATCTTCAGAGCTTGACATTCGGCCGTGACTTAAACCTGAGCTTGGAAGGAGTGAACCTGCCAAGCAATCTTCAGAGCTTGACATTTAGCGATGACTTCCACCAGAGCCTAGAAGGAGTGAACCTGCCAAGCAATCTTCAGAGCTTGACATTCGGCCATGACTTCAACCAGAGCCTAGAAGGAGTGAACCTGCCAAGCAATCTTCAGAGTTTGACGTTCAGCAATGCCTTCAACCAGAGCCTGGAAGGAGTGAACCTGCCAAGCAATCTTCAGAGCTTGACATTCGGCGATGACTTCAACCAGAGCCTAGAAGGAGTGAACCTGCCAAGCAATCTTCAGAGTTTGACATTCGGCCATGACTTCGACCAGAGCCTGGAAGGAGTGAACCTGCCAAGCAATCTTCAGAGCTTGACATTCGGCCGTAGCTTCAACCAGAGCCTGGAAGGAGTGAACCTTCCAAGCAGCCTTGAGAGCTTGAGAATAGATCATGAAGATTTGCATATGCTCAGAGGGGTGTTTTTGCCAAACACCCTGCGTACTTTGGCGATTGATGGTCTTTTGGTTTGCAGCTTGTGATTCTACTCCGTGTGCATTTTTCGAGGCTGCGTGCAAAATATCGCCCGCATGTTCTGGGAGCCGGAAATTTTGTCCAATGATCGACACAATGCCATCACGAGCAATGCTCCATTGTTGTTTGCGAGGTAGCTCTGAGACTTGCAGTTTGTTTGAAACCAGTAAGTACCCCATTATATCCAAACAAATCCACTCATTATGATTAATTAATATTAACTAATTATAATTAATTATTGTAATTTTCTACTATATCCAACGATATGGTCGGGAATGTGACTCCACTGACGTGACACACTGACCCTGAAATTAATAAAGGCCTGGATTTGGGGGACATGTCATGCCATGGCTCCACCATTCGACAGGGGAGAAGGGTTTGCCAATTAATCCCAATAGTATAGTTTGTAGAACCATTAATCATGTATTTGGGCAAATTATGACGACCTCATTGTGACCTCACTGGAATCATGGTTAATAAATGTTCATAAGGGGACTTATCCCAAAATGGCCTTATTTCAGGTTAGTGAATTATTATAATTTGCGCCGAACTATGTATCCATGTATAGACATCCAACCCCTCTAATCTCCGCCATCGAATGAGTGGTGGTTACATTCTCAGAAAAGTTTTGCTCAACCCCCGCAACCAATACCCTTGCAGGAGAGGATTCCTAGTAGTGATCACTTTGATCACACATCCTACGATCCAAATATGAACCTGCCATAAACATGGCCACGGCAAGTCATGGGCTCCAATTATGTAACCATCCAATCACGCAGTCTTGATACCCGACTGTTTTGAAACACTGGTATATACAGCCATAAACTGGTGGCCTCCACATGACCTAAGTGTGCTCTGGAAGAAGCTGTAGATTGCAGCGCTGCTGCGGCGCAGCACAAACACACGACAGCGCAGCCGCCGTGGCCACCAGGCATAGACTGGATCCGGTCTACTCAGGAGGACAGAAACACGGCCATCGATGCGTACCATTCGCCACAAGGGTCTACCCGAACAGTGGAAGTGCAAGGACGCCACCCTTGATGTTTGCATTATATCTCGATCCGAGCATCAAGGCGATGCAGCAAGGTGACCAATCCTTCAGAGGCAAGTTCATCAGAGCGATTGAGAAACGCAAGGACCCAAATACCTTTTTAAAGCATGCCGTTTCTTCCTCGAAAATGGAGTGATGGTCTCACTTCAGGGGCAATCTCTTAATGTTAAAAGGCAGAGAACGCTCCAAAGAGGTTACAGCTTGAAACTGGTTATTTTGGATTCCCATATCCGATGCTGGCAATGGTTGGTTTCAACGCATTGAAAGCATAAAGCATGAAAGCATAGGTGGCTGCTTAACAAGCCTTTGGTAAAGGCAATTCTTGGCCTTCTGATGTCATGTGGGACTTGAGGGATATAGTTTGTTTGCAACCTGTTCACCAGCATATGTTGTAAGTTCGAGGACATTTTCCGGCACCCGTAAGGCGTCGTTATAAATCGCCAACTCTTTGGACTCTGAAGTTCTCATTTTTCAGTTGGTTTATCATGGGGGGTTCATATTGGGCAATAAGTTGGATGCTGTGTCCCAACCACCAAAAATACCACATAAATCCTCATTGGATACTATGTATTTGAGGGGATGGTTCTGAGGAGAGGGTTGGAATCTGTGTATACAGCACCAAAGGTTTAGGAGAACTACTTTGGGGTTGGGGAAGGGGAGGTAGGTCATCAAATTCATTGTTGTGTTTTATTTGTTTTTGGGGAACCCTTAATTCCAAAATCGGTTTACTTTTTGAATTTTCTTTTGTGTGTAGCAAATGGCAGATGGCAGATGGTTCACATTGCAATGAATCCATGAAATAGAGGAAAGCAGGATAAAAAGGTAGGTCCTGGTGAGGGTTGTGAGCATATAATATAATATGCACATATGCACATACATGCATGCATGCATACATACATACGTACATACATACACAGATACATCCATACATACATAGATAAACACATACATACATACCATAATATAACATAACATACATACATGTATACATGTATACTGTATACATGTGTAATATAGTTTTTTCAAAAAAAACAGTTAATACTCTTCAAGTGTGGCAATCCTCCAATGCATTGGCCACTCAGGTCCTGCTGGTCGCGTGTGCGCGCACGCGGGGCGCGAGATTCCATCCTACTTGTGTCCAGCAGGACAGTGGCCACCGGGGGCACCAGATGTTGGGAGGAAATTGGTTTTGAAGAATCCCCTAAATGGTACAAGGTTACAAGGTGGTGCCCCAGTTCGTGAACGCTAAGTTGGTTTATAATTAAGCCCAATAGCTAGGGTTGATTGGGGGGGTTATGTCGAACTAGTTCATGGGGATTATAAACCAACTAATAACTGGGGATTCCCATAGTCATGGGGGGTACCCCCTATAGCTGGAGGGTAATGGAAAATCCCAATCTAAAGTGGATGAGAACTAGGGCTAGCCTTAGGACTTAGGACACCTCCATTTCAGGAGTAAACCATCGCAACTGCAGTTATCCCATCCCCCATTCATATCAAACACCCCCATTGTATGGTCCCAAGTATGTATAAATTAATTCCTCACTAAAGCATGGTATTTGTGGGGGGTGTTCAGTATGAACGGGGGATGGGATATCCACCAATCTTTGGGTGATTTGTTGGATAGTCCCCAACTGGTTGGTTCGTAGATTTGTTTAATTTTCTTTCCACTCAGGTTATATACGTGTTTATGATCCCAAACAACTTATATATGAACTTATGAGCTTAAAACCTTGCATCTAAATACCTTGCATCTAAAAGAAGAGCACTCCACTCATCAACGTCCAATCACTTCGAAGACTCTCTGGTTGGTGGTTTGGAACTTCTTTTTTTATGACTTTCCATATGTTGGGAATGTGCAGAATGTCATAATCCCAACTGACGAACTCCATCATTTTTCAGAGGGGTAGGTCAAACACCAACCAGCTCTCAAAGTGGAGGATCCTATTGCCCTCCGGGTGTCATCACTCTGAACACCCTGGCGGGTTCCGTGGACGGGGAACCTGGGGAACCTGGGGAACTCGGAAGGAACCCGGCCGTGAGTCTTGGAGAACTGGGGGTTCCCTAGAAACTTCGTGGAAGTCACAAGAACTGGGAAACTTGGTAGAAAAACAAGGCTAGTTGGCAGTCTATGGTCCCTTATGGATCCAAGTACCTTCTCGGTGTTTGGATCCATATAGGGGTAGTTATGCCATGTTGTATGTGTGCTGGGTTAAAAGAACATATGGCTACACATGGGGGAATATCATGCCCAAGTCAGACTTCTATTTCCAGTTGGTTCAGTTGGCAGCTGGCAGCCCCTTGAAGGTTTCCTCACATAGCCCTTACCCGTACCCTTTGTGAATCAAAGATGACAGTGGAACGTAATGACATATGCAAACTATTTAAGGGTAAGTTTTAATGACCTCACTGTGACGTCACTGGAATGATGATTATTTGTAAGATGAATCATCCTCAAATGGCCTTGTTTCATTTTATTTCATCTTGTTTCAGCAATTCTGGTTACAAAAGTGTAATTCAGCCAGAAATGAAGTCCTTGCGGAGCTGAAGTCTGACCAAAAGCCCTGGCAGGGTTGATGATTAGTTGGGGATGATACTCCCCTTTATTTATTGGGGATTATATTTATTGTAATAATCCAATAGAGGAATCCCAAACAAAACCAACCAGGATTCAATGGAATGAGGGATTTTGAACACTGCTTCAACATGAATGTTCTCGAAGTGATAAATGAAGGAATGTAATATCCTACTGCCAAAAAAATCATGTGGATGATGTTTTGCCCGGGAAGCTTTAAGGTGAGCCACGCACTCTTGATATGTGTCATTTCTTGTACATCTCCCAACACAGATGCCATGTCGCGGCGACAACGCATCCAAGGTTTATCGGACAACGGGCCGCGCATTTGTCCACCGGGACTGTATTGTATGGCCGGAACCTCCTCTGTCATTCCAGATCCCACTAGCAACTTGGAGCCAATGGAGATGGGAAAAGAGGATGTCGTCCACATACGGGGAATTGCATGAGCCAAAATGGGGACCTAACCATCATATTTAACAAATGAACAATGAAAACCAAGTGCTTTCTCCAAAAATTGGGGAGTTACCCGAATTTATGGCCATGATGGGAACCATGATTTCCTCAACCGTGAGATTTTTGCGCCTCCCTAAGTGCGGGTAAACATTTATTGCCAATTTAACCGTAGATATATCTATCAGAAACCACAGTCCGTTTGTTTCCCCAACTTAGCCAACTAATTAGTAAACCACCACTTTATCATTTTAGTTGTTTATAAATAATCGCGTATGTATGTTGGTTAAATCCCCCTTCTGGGAAGCCACATTCTGTCAGCATTGACACAACGGCTTGCTGCTAGGTATGACCACGGCGAAGCAATGCACGCAGGGTACCTTCTGTGTGGCCAACACCACCACAGCGGGCGGCACGGACAATTGCCCACCCCGATGGTGCGCCGCGAATGGAGATGCGAGGGGATTTGTAGTTGATCACAGTTGACTTCTGATAGTTATATAAGCCGGTCGAAATATGTAGGTTTAGGCTAACTCTTGGGGTTGTGGTATATAAATATATATTTATATTTAGATATATATCTTTTGGAACTAATATGGAGTATGAACTAGTTAACTGGGTTTACAGACCAACCCACATAATGCAGCATCTTGTCCAAGTGCAGATGGAACAGTACAGCACCCCGTATCGCAACACGACGGCGATGGCAACAGACTTCGGGCCATCTTGAGGTGGTCGTGGTCAGCTGGTAACTGAATCAAGATGGATTATTTGACAACAGCAAGACAGATGGAGTAGCAATTTGGTAATTTACCCTCTGGTTATTTAACATAGCCATATTAGCCATGGAACATGGCCCATTTATAGATGGTGTACCTATTAAAAAAATGTGATTTTCCATGGCTATGTTGAATAACCAGATGGTAACAGTTTGCTATGGAAAGGCACCACTTTTCAATAGGTGAATAAAATTATAAATCATCTATAAACGGGACATTTTCCATCGCTATGTTGAAGCACCCACCAGAAAACTACTTCAGTGGTGCTAGGGAGTTTTTTGCTCTTCGACATCGGCGACTTTCAGAGGCGATCCTCAGAATTTGCTAAGTGATTCGTAACTGGTAATCCGTTTATCCCAATATAACCCATAGGATCCATGGTGCTGGTATATATGCTAACATGACTGGGGATGACTGGGGTATATTGATGGTAAATGTTAGCATATATAGCAGCACCATGGATACTATGGGAAATATAATCAGTTCTCAGGGCTACCCACTTTGCGAGCCAGCTAATTCATCATTTGGATAGACCTCCCCAAAAATTGCTGCGGAAAACTTAGGCGTTAGGCACTTTAGTATTGTTTGTTTTATTATGTTTTATTTATTTCAGAACAATTGGCAGTAGACATTGACCAAATCGGGAGTGTTTCTGGGATGTTGAAGGGGAAATTTCTAGTTGGGGTAACGCATGGTTTCCTGCAAAATGTCCCTTCAATCAGTTGCCTAACCAGCACCAAAAATGATACTTCAAAATGAAAATGTATGTGTATATATATCTATATATAATATATATAATATATATATATGTATATATACGTGATTGGTAGATAGATAGGTAGATAGATAGATAGATATGCAAGATCGGTGATTTTTGCATGCCATATCCAGTCCCGGACCCAGGAACCCGATTATAGCCGACTCAACGCGGGCTCGTCACAAAAATCGGTTACACCTATTGGTCAATCATCCGGCTGCACGAATTTTCAGACACAAAAACATACAAAATATATGAAACCATAGTTAAATCCCATGAAAAATATCGTTAAATCCCATGATACACTCAAAATACTCCTGGAAAAACGTAGTGCGACCCCCCTTGACCTCATGAGAGATGATGGGGTACGTGGGAGAAATCATCTCCAGATGGCCAAACAAAAATCAAATTGTTGAATTGTTCAATGATGATTTTAAGATTTACCAAATGATATGATTTGGGATGATTATGAATTACCAATGCTGCCAATTGTGTTTTTTAATCCCCTATATATATATATACATATATATATATACACACATATATATATATATACACATATTGATTGTTGTATTCCTATAATTTCCAACCACATGTTTGGTTTCGATTTGGTTTCGAAAGCCATATAGCCTCCATTTTCCATGGCCGCGCCTAGCCGTAGCTTTTTCGCCAGGTACTGCCCTGCGGGTGTGAGTTCTCCACAGCCCACGCCTCCTGGGCATTATGTGGGACAATCTGGCAGCATCTATCCATCCAAGTGCCGGCCTGGAACCTATGCAGCCAATTGGCTCATGATGCTCGGTGTCAATAGGAAGAAGGTGCCCCAGTTCGTGAACGCTAAATTGGTTAACATAACTCCAATAACTATGGTTTATGGTAGATAGACTATAGTTAATGGGGTTTATAAACCAACTTATAACTATGGGGCACCACCTTGTAGGAAGCACGACCTCACTGTTTCCCGAACTCTGGAATGATGGTTAATAAGGAATATTATCGCAAGAAAGTTTCTTTCAGTTCAGTGACTTATTTTGATTTACAGTACTTACCCTGACAAAAATGGGTTTCAGCCTATTTGATGCTGTGTGATGGCATCATCCCGTCATCTTAGACCCCATTCAGCAATAAGCGGACATGTCCTATACTTTTTACAATGGTTTCGAGGAGGTGTTTAATATCAGGGGTAAGGGATATACTTCCGGTGTACAGTGGACTAGGTAAACAGCTAAATGCTTTCCAAGTATCAGAAGTCAAGGAACGCCCATGTACAACCAGTGCTCCGGCTTGTAACCTACATTATATATGTATATGTGCCATTGTCTTGGTCGGGATAAATTGTATATACACCGACCTCACTGCGACGTCACTGGCATGATGCTTAATGGTAACTATCCCAAATTGCCTTATCTCAGCTTGCTCAGGTTGGTGACTTGGTGATGTTAATTTTGAACCCACACATTACGCACATTACCACATCGTTTCCACCGCAGACACAGCTGCACCCCAGGCACGCATGGGTCATACAGAGCTAAGTTGCTAGAAATTCTGCAGGTTAGATTAGATTATAAACCAACTTGCCACGTACTGCTGATGCACCACCGATGCCATCCCCTTCGGCTGTTCCAAGGATTGAGTGTGAGCCCTGCCCAGCCGGCACGGAGTGCCCCCTGGATGGCACCGTGGTTCCCACGGTGTGTCGTCCCGGATCCTACCGCGAAGCAACCACTGCAGGGTCGGATCCCACGAAGAACGTCATGTGCACCTCGGTTGAAAGCACAGGTGGAGGGCACTTGGCGTGTCTTTGTGTTTGGGCATACTGGATCATGAGTTTTTGAAAAGGTTTAAGCCAAGAACAGGAGGGGGGTGATTCGAGAAGTAATTGCACTTGAGGTAAAACAAACGGGGATCTTGCGAACATTAAGCCATGTTGATACCGGATTACAGTCACAAAGATCACAGCCAACAAACATAATGAAGCAACTGGTGGACTAGAGCAATCCCACCTCCCAAAATGAAATGATTAGCTACCATCAAAGTGAAAATGTGGTCTATTAATGGTGTTCGACTTAACCATTCATCACTAAGAGGGTCCCTTCTTGGAGGTATTTCATTACCATGGTAAGAAGGGACTTCACATTTTGGTTGGGTAAATTATTTTTTGGACAACTGAAATCAGTCAAAACACATTCAAATACCAAGTTGTGATTATTCATATTGATTCATTCCCCAATGTCCATGGGTTTTCCCAGAAAAACCATTCTTTTTTAACTAACCATGTGGAAAACCAGGAAAAGCCATCATTTGTATCATTTTCCTATAGGGAAACCATGGGGTTTTCCCCATCCATGTCAGTTGACCCGCTTGGGGGAATCGCTTGGAGTCTCCAACGGAACCAAGGTACTCCCTGCCCGCAGGGTACATGGTCAGAACGTGGTGGCCTTTCATCGGTCCTGGATTGCAAGAACTGCGATGAAAGGCGCCGGTGATTTTCACGAAAATACTCTGAAAACTGGTGAAAGTATGAAAACTATGGGGTGAGACGCCATTTTTGTTGGGGTGGAACACAATTTTTAAAGGGTCAAACACTATCATTTTTGTTGGGAAACACAATTTTATAGGGTCAAACACAATTTTTATTGGGATGAAGCATCATTTTTATAGGGTCAAACACCATTTTTATAAGGTACATGGAGCACCTCTCAGGTACATTCACGTACCTTCCATCCCTTGAGGTACGTGTGTCCCATGGAGGGTACCATTCGTTTCGCCACCTTCGAGCAACCCTGCCCAGCCGGAGCCGCGCCCACGGACATTTGCGGCTCAGCGATCCAGGGAACTTCGAAGAATCCTTTGGGGGAACAAGAAATCTTTGGCTAGTATAATAAATGGTTAATAGATGTTATATGGTAGATGTTAATAGATGGTTAATGGCTATGAATAGTTATATAACCTTATGTTATCAAATGTTATCAATAATGATGATTTATCACCAGTTAAAATAATTATAGAACCAACAAAATATTGTGATTATTGGATGGTATTTATATTTTATTATATATGTTTTATTATATGTTATTATATTATATGATATTATATGATATTTTATTGTATTTTATTATGTTTTATTATATGTTATTACATTATATGATATTATATGATATTTTATTACATTTTGTTTTATTATAGTATATTATATTATATCATATTATGTTATATTATATTATATGTATGGGTAAATTACAACGACTTCACTGTTCTCCCGAAGCCTGGGATGATGGTGATAGCCTTATGTCAGGTTTGGATGGATCATTTAGTTTAATCAACACAATCCGAAAATAGTTTGGATCAGAACGTCAGAAATGAATTGAAACTAGGGATGGGTCATTGAGTTTAACGCAATCCACCAATGACATAAACCTTATTATGGACTATAAAGAGAGTTGGGCCTCAAAATTCCATGACTAGAAACCACATATTACTTGATTTTTGGGCTTAAAATCAGGGTCTCAGGAATTGTTTTAAGTGCCTTTCCGCAATGTAGTACGTTCGCGGCATGTTGCCCCAAAACAAAGGCATTGAATGGCTGATTGTACCAGTAGTTCAATCTTTTGTCACATCAGAAGTCTTTGAACATACTTTGAACATTACCATTTGTGGCTGGTTGGTGGTTTCAAGCATTTTTTATTTTCCATCATATATGGGATAATCCTTCCCATTGACTCATATTTTTCAAGATGGTTAAAACCACCAACCAGGTGGCCATTGATGCGAATTGGCCATGACTCTAAATGATTGACCCATGTTGACACCAAAAAATTGGACTGGTTTGTCCTTTCTGGTACCAAGAATGACCTCAAACTCGACATATCGCAGCCCCAAAAAGATAGAAACATGGGATGCCGGAAAATATCCGAACATGTCATCTCATCCCATACTGCAAACATGTTACGGCATTTTTTGGTGGGTTTTTCCTCAACCAAATCACCCGGTGTGTTCCAACTTCTGGGCCGAGGCTACGAAAATTCCCAGGGATGGGATTGCCCACAAGGCTACGGCTGCGGTCCGGCCACTACCTCCTTCACACAGTGCCCGTTTCGGAGGTCGGTGATTTTCTAGAGATCAATGGGGGAACAAAAACATCAGAGCCCAGCAACAATCAATAAACTAGAAAAAAGTAACATCATACTTACTATATATTCATAATTGTGATTAGAGTGATTAGATGAATATATTATGAAGATAAATGGTTGTGTTTCCCAAAATTGGGGAACACCATCTAAATCCAATGGTTTATCATTGGTCTCCCTATTAAGAATGGCAAAAAATTGCGTGGTATCTATGTATACCCAGGGGATAATGGATAGACGCTAAAACCGTCCCAAAATGGAGATTTGATCAACACTCATCAGCACTAAATATGATGGTTGCTGATTTCTACGCCTGCTAAGCCCACCCTACTCAGAATTTCCCTGGGACGTTGGAATGAACAGATTTGAATAGATCCCCCACATTGGTTAACTTTTCTTGTGCAGGATGCATTTTCGAGAACTGAAGAAATCCAGCCTGGAAAGGGGCGTTTACAGCCAATTGTAATCTTGAAATGTGGTGGAATTTACTGCTAAGTTTGCACACCAGCAAGGTGCCCTTGATTTTTTTTGCCATGTTTGGCACTGGGAGGCGGCCACAAAAGACATGAAAGGGCCATTTTTGGGGGGGAGGATTTCATGTTTGCAAACAAACCAGCTATAGATCCAGTATATAGGCAATAATTCCACATATTTGCTGGATAAATCTTGATATTGTTGTGAAAACTATAGAGCATCACTGAATTGCTGCCAATTCCAACCAAAAAACAATCACTACGTTTTTTTCTTAATTTACCACTGTGTCATTGTCAAAGGCACATATCCAATGCCATGAAATAGTTTTGAAGTATTCCTGCTATTTATCCATGTTATAACCAGAAACTGATTTGTTGATACCCCAATTGTGCTCCGTCAATCATAATCTCCACTGTCCATGGAATTTATAGGGAGCCCAATGAGACCCTCATTCCCACAATCTTCTACATTCATTAGCTTTCGAACAAGGCAATGGTATGAAAGTAGTATGGAATGTGGAGTCCCATTAGTAGCTGGAAATTACAGTACATTATCAATCCGTGTAACACTGAACTCCAACAACACGCACGACCGCACGAGGTACGACTACTTCTGCGAAGCGGGCTTTTGGTGCAAGGTCCGGACCGTGCCCAGCGAGACGCGCAACTTGCTATGCCCTGCAGGCGGCCCCGTCGTTGCCGGGGGGGCCGGGGGAAGGCCCCCCGAATTGAAATGAGGAATTTCACCAACATGGCCGCCCCCAGTTTTGAGTTGGTGTACATCCCCATTTGGCCAGCCAACTATCATAAACTCCGGTTATCCTGGCCAAAAACCAAGTTACTGTTTGGTGGGCCTATCCTATCCCCTAGCATTCCCTAACCAGCTACCATCCTCTAACCAGCACATAGATGTGGAAAACTAACCATTTGTCATTTGTAGATAATTTTCCTAGGGAAACTATGTGTTTTCCATATCTATGTTGCTTTGGCCTATTACTTGCTATCCCTTGGTCCATTGCCGGCGGCGGCCACGGCAGGTTACTACTGCAAGCGCGAGACCGGGCAGTCCGGCGGCTCAGGGCGCTACGCCTTCCGCTGCCCCAGCAACCGCTTCTGTCCCGAGGCAGGGTACCATGGGTACCCATGGGGTTGGGCTGGGAAGGCCTCATCAATCCGTGGCTGGCTGGGAAAACCACTTGGGATGATATAGGAAAATCTTCTAAAAATGAGGGAATTTAGTATGGGAAAACGGATGTTTTTGATCGGACAATCTATAAATGGTGGATTTTCCATTGACTTGTTTGATTGCCGGAGGGTAGTGATGCAGAATTCGACATGACAGTAGCTCTGAAAGTGGATATTATAATTCTCCTGAAACCCATTGACATGTTCAGATATTTTTCATGGCTAGACCAGAGGGGGGCAGATGATAGTGGGAAAGAACCTACAGCTACGTATGGATATAAACATGGGAAAATCTACAAGACGTAAGAGATCGCGCATGATCAGCCGAAATGGACCAATAGCATTGGAAGACAAACAGCAACGGGTTCCTTGATCAGGTTGATAGACCAGGCGGCCCAGTTTTCACAAGATGCACTTTACTGCAAGGGGAATGCATTTTGGATTGTAGTGTTGGATACGGTTGGCCTGTTTAAAAGTATTTGAACGCAAAGCGATGTTTGTCAATTCATATCAAAAACCCGTTAAGTTGTACTTGAGATCTCTCGGCGGTTCTGGGCACCTTTCCACTGCACTTCTGCAGTACAGGCTCACGTCTCCCCAATCTGTTTAGCATGTGCTGTGTTACAAGTGTTCTTAAAACAATGTGGATCTGTGTGAAAATTGGGTACCACCAAATCTGATGGTTAATCATCATTGCCCTTTGGTTATTTAACATAGCCATGGAACATGGTCCATTTATAGATGGTTTACCTATTAAAAATTGTGATTTTCCATGGCTATGTTAAATAATCAGATGGTCATAATTAATTACTGCTCTTATTCGAATGGTCAGTTAGAAGATTTAGAAGATACATACACGTATATACTCCATTTTTAGACACACACACATTCCACGTGTTTTTGCTTCGAGATGTTCCTCTGGAGTTTTTCAGACACCGACACACAGGGCACTGCAGCTGAAGACGTCCGCATTGACAACCAGCATCGTGGCGCAGTGAAGTTCTACTTCGCGGATATCTTACAGTTATGGCGCAACTAACAGCTTTATTATATGGTTATTATATGGTCAATATACGGTTAATTATGGTTAATGGTATTCTAAATGCGATTATTTCATGATATATGGTGGGATTATCAATTATATAACCTTATAGGATTATAAATGGGATTATACGAATAATAGGATTATAATGATGATATGTTTCACCTTAGTTATAAGAGCTATTTCATCCCATTGGTACCTGTTAGTTGGGCCATAATTGTAGATAGACAATTATACGTATACATAGAACAAAAAAAATAGATGGTCGATTTTGGACTATTCACTTGATACATGTTGAATCATGTTGATACTATTGAACTGCACTTCTTCTTTCATGCAATTTCTAGGTTCTAGCTCTCCTGAAATTCCTTCTTAAATTGATTCAAAGTAGGCAGTTACGCCAGTTCGCGTTTGTATCACCAGGTTTAGCATTCACCTGGCATAGGATGAACCACCGTTCGTACACTTGATTGCCCATCCATGGCGGGTCACCAGCTGAGAAGTGAATATGATGGACGTAGCTGTTCTATAACCAATACATCACTAATAGATATCATAGATGCAAAACTTTGACACGGACAACATAGCTTGGATACTTGGATACTGTGGAGATACTGTTCCTGAAGTGAAATGTTGGATATATATATATATGATATATGATACATTGCCCATGAGAGTTCTTGCCACTAACTGATGGTGTTTTTTTGGGGCAACCAGATCTCCAGATACCCGACCTGGTAAACTAAGGGATTGGTAAATCAACGAACCAAAAAAAATGGGTCATTTTCTATAGCGAACTGTAACAAATTACCCACGAGGGTATCTGAAAAGTCATATTTTCTCTGTGAAGATATGTGAAGTCACATTCGAAGGATTGGTTTCAAAGGCTTTTTTTGTCATTCGAGCTTTGCCATGACGAGGTCCCATGGTTGATTTTTCACATGAAATCTGGTGGTTCCGTAGCGAATGTCATGAGCATTCGTTTTTTGGCGTGTAGAAATCATTTCCAAATGATGGGTGGTTTGGGTTTGTTTATGACATGGTTTTAACCACATGAATTGATGTTTCCCATTCTCATAACATCTTATAACCATTACCCTCTGGTAAACGTTTACAGTTTCCTATGGAAAATCACCATGCTATTAATGGCTAAATCAACGATTTCTATGGCCATTTTCAATAGCTTTTTGTATGTTTCCCAGAGGCTATAGATGCTGCTGCTGATCTGTTCTGTTTCGGGGCGCCCTCGGCCCGTGCGCCGAGGCTCCTCATTGTCTTGGAGAACGTTCAGTCGCTGGTGTCCATCGTCACGCAGCCGGACTTGCACCTCGCTGAAGTTCAGTATAGAAGTGTCAGCACAGTTTTTATTAGATAGTGTGTAGAATAATTATATAGATAGATAATGATAGATATATAATTTATAATTATATATATTTTTTATATATAGATCAATATAAATTATACAGTATATAGATATCATATACATCCCGGCGGAAGGGAAACCGCGCGAGCGTTTTGATTGTTTGCTTCCAGGAGAGTCACCATCACCTGCAATTTACAGTATAAAATGCTCTTCCGAACTCTTTGGATAACTGAATTTTGGTCAAAAAAAGTGGATGCAAAATCTATTGATTTTTGACAAATCCAGTTAAACATCATGTAACGTAGTAAAAGATCCCAGAGATCTCAGCAGCGTACCAACATGTCACGTAGTACGAAAGTCCCAAGGATCTCAGCAGCGTAGCAACATGTAACGTAGTAAAAGATCCCAGAGATCTCAGCAGCGTACCATCATGTCACGTAGTATGGCAATATATAATGCACGAAGTACAAGGAACGTTAACATGCCCCCCCACCCCACCCCACCCCAACCCCAACCCACACTAGAGATCTCAGCAGCGTAGCAACATGTAACGTAGCACACGATCCCAGAGATCTTAGCAACATGGCAATATATAATGCACGAAGTACAAGGAACGTTAACATGCCCCCCCACCCCACCCCACCCCAACCCCAAGAAAAAAAGAGCAATACGCAAAAAAGAAGCAAAACGCACGTACGGTTTTCCTGCCGTAGGCATATACATGATATTTGATATTTTTTGGTGCATGGATATGCATTGATGTGCTATGAACAAATTTCCAAGTGGTGGTTTTAGCCCCCAGATCCTAAATACGTTTGGTGGCCATAAATATATTCCCTCAACCACAACATTCCCTTCTTCAGGACCCCGAAATGAAGAGCCCAAATACTGAACCAGGGCTCTTGGGACATGTGTTTACTGCGATTCGGGCATGTGATTTATCCAAACTCACCCAACATTAGCAAGGACTACCCATGATTGTTTGCTCATCTCCCCTCCATGTTTTTGCGTGCGACGTGAGTGATATTCAGTTCTATATCATCTTTTTGTTCCATTGGATTGGTCTAAGGGCATGTTTTACAGCAACCCCCTAAAAATTTGTAAAACCCATGGGTTTCCTTGAGATTTTTCGCTTCCATCCAGTGATTGGTGATTTCCCCCTTGATCCCCCCCCCTGTTTTGTGGACCACAAGTTGCCCAAAAACCTGGCGGCGTATCTTGCTGTGCAGGGAGAGAGGCTCGATGTGCCGCATCTGTTTGGAAGACGCGGATCCTGGTGTTTTCGATTTACGCCGCTGCCACTTGGCCCTGCCTTGGAGGTTGTGGGGTCGGCTCTGGCAGGTATTTGTTTCGTTTATTTAAAAGGTGTGGTAAGGGATTTCTAAATGCATTGATTTGCGTTCTGTATTAAAATAGTTTCTCTGTGATGATGTCATTTTATGTGATTAAGTTGTTTGAATGGACGGATTTATGCCATTAATTTGATGGCTTCAGTAAGCCAATTATATATACTTCCCCATGATTAGCAATAGAGTTCATGGTCCAAACCCAATGCCACAAACCTCTTGAAAATCCACCCATTTCTGGAGAGATCCGACAAACGATGGAGAACTGGTTCCTAGCCATGGTCAACAACCCAGTATATATACATACCCATAAAATGGTGTTACAAACCCAGTACTCGTCGAGCTTTTGCAATTTTTGTTGGGGTACTTGGCGGGTCTAGGCCTAGGTGTACATTCTCTCTCTCTCTCTATATACATATATAGATACACATATCAGAAGATATTCCCAGTTTTGAGACTGGTTGTTAAACCGCTCTGACCGCCGGGATGCACATTCATGTGAGAGATTCAACTTCTTGAGCACAGTCGTCTCAATTCCATATTTTTGGACTTCGGATGGATTAAAACTGTGGTTTCCTGATGTTATAATAATGATTTAACTCCTTAGTTACAGGATGTTTTTTCATGCCATAATTGTTAAGGGCCATAACTGTATGGAAGGGGTAGAAGTGCTCAGCTACCAAGTTTTTGCATTCTGTATCGCTGTGTTTTTGGCAGACATTGACACTACCTCTCAGGTAAACCCTGCGGAAAGATCGTGGCTTTGCAGCACAACCAGCTCAGGGTTAGGGTTGTTGAAGGGTGTTTCAGGATGGTTCTGATTGCCCCCACTGGTGAGGGTTGGCTCATGGGTTTTGCTAGTCATAAATCGGAGAATCTTAATCCCCCACAAGCAAAACGTCCATGATGAGTTGTTTTCTGGTATTACCTGGTTGGTCGTTTGGAACATCTTTTATTTTTTTCCATATATTGGGAATAATAATCCCAACTGATGAACTCCATCATTTTTCAGAGGAGTTGGTTGAAACTACCAACCATTTACCCTCTGGTAAACTAACATAGCTATGGAAAATCACAATTTTTAATGGGAAAACTCACTATAAATGTCCATTTTCAATAGCTATGCTAGTTTACCAGAGGGTACTTTCTTTGCCTTCGCTGGCCACATTTGGACACCATTGGGAACTCGACGTAAGGTGCCCCTGTCGTTCTTCGAAAATCTGGCGAACCTCAACTCGGGCGCCCGTCGCCTTGACGACTTGGATCTGGAGCGGCGGGCTGGGGCTGAAGGGCTTTGGGATGCGCCCCGGAAGGGATGTTTTTGAAGCAATTCCCGAAAAAAAACACGTGAGAATTGGAGGAGTTTCTTAGTGGAAATATATGTACAGTAAGACGAGATATACTTTTCACATGTTTTTTTTGGTTGGAGATTTCAGCTGAAATGATGGTAACAAGGGTGAAAATTCAACATGGTGCATGATAGAAAGGTATACGTTATAAATAAGACACTGAACTTTCACCCCAATTTTTGGAGAATTTAAATATGTAGAGTTTACATGAGTTTACTATCGCTGGTTTGATTCAGTTACCCCAAGATGGTAAACAATTACCTACAAGTTGAGTTGATGCCTCCCCCCAGTTACATTTGCTGGTCTCAAAGCCCGGCCAACTATTCATCCATCATGATATATCTACCATAAACCCGACAATTGACCTACTTGGTTCAACCAAACTGAGCAAACAAACTGGTGCACCACATCCTAGAGTTTGTAAATCAAGTCCTCATTGAAATTTACTGGTAAAATATGTATTTGTACATGTTTGTTTTAAAGATTTTTAGTGAAACCATGGTAACTTATGCTTTTGAATATATGGGTGTGTCTGAGAATTCATTGGATTTTTGGGTGCCCTATTTTCAGACAAACCCATATACAGCTCAATCTGACACGTTTTTTTGTTGCCAGACGACTTTGGCAAGTTCTCAGAACAATATTTTCAGATCTTGTGCGCCAAGTTTCTGGCGAAGTTGGCAGTGAAAAATCCATCAATCCATCAAGTTGTATAGCTGGTTGGTATGGTTTGGTATGGTTTAATGGTTCAAAATGTGGTTTAACATGGTTTAATGGTGATTAATGGTGAGTAATCATGGTGGTGATAAATTCACTGTAACTGGTGGTGGCTGGAACCATGGAATTTGATGACTTGCCATTCAGTTGGGAATGGAATAATCATCCCAACTGACGAACTCCATCATTTTTCAGAGGGGTAGGTCAACCACCAACCAGTACAACTATGATATATCTTCCATAGACCGAACAGTGAACCCACCCGGTACCAGTCCTATCAGATGATCAATGACCGTCAGAGGACTCCAACTATGTCGCCTTGCACGAGAACTACAGCAGCTTCCCCGTGGTGTTTTGTAAACGTGGTGGTTTCAGGGGTTTTGAGGTCCTGCCTTCAGGGGATAAAATTACCGGTTGCTTAAATCTCGATGATTATTTTATAGACAGTGAATTTTGACGAATTTGGCAGGTGCTCCCCGCATGATTGGAACATATTGGAACCCGTGGGAAAATGATGAACATGTTGAGTCATGTTAAGAGTCTTTGGACAATATGTCACAGAAACGGAGGCTGAGAGCAAAGTTTAAGCAACAAGACTGGACATGTGACAGTTGCTGTAGATTGCAGTCGACCCCAAAGAATGATTCCCCAAAAAGTCAAGTCTACCACTGTTTGAGTCTTCATTTATTGTTTTACTTCTGGGCTGCCATAGTTGGTTCAAATATAGTACATATCATACACATATGTATATATATATATAGATAATATGGCATATATTATATATTATAGAGTATATTCAGACATCATTAAACACACACACGCAGACACACATAGATAGATATATATGTATATGTGGGGATCCGCGCTTGTGGCAGCATTTCCATGCGCCACAACGCTCAGGCAACATCACCCGGGGTAAGCAGGCGGGGGACTTTGGATGCCCTGGTAATAGCCATACTCTGCACAATGGTACACACTTTATATGTGTGTATTATGTATGTATATATGTATCTGACACAGGCATATATATATATATACATAGTTTGACATTTGTATATATGACAATGACATGTACTCATTTATGTGTATATATATATATACGGTCGGTATGTTGGATACAAACCACTTACAAACTGGGATGCGCATCCAAGTAGGGAGCTTGGCATCATCCGAAGCCTTGTCTTCAGGTGTGCATGGAGATGTCCTTTTGCCATCTTTTGCCGTTTGCACGATCTATGTTTCAGAATATCTTCAGTCTTCATTGAATATGTGAATAAAAACTAAAGATTAAACACCCGAGGTGCCGAGGTGTGCGTAATTTTCTGATGGAAACCAGAAAGTGGCTGGGAAAAAAATATTCCGTGGGAAAGTTAGCTGTTTGTTTACGGGTCATTGTGAAGCTAGCCAGGTAAGAGGAAAAACAACTGAAAAATCAGTGGAGGAGATCCGACCATTTGCATCACGACCTACATTGTTGTTGCAAGATACCCTCTGGTAAACATACACAAAACTATATGGAAAATCACAATGTTTAAAGGGTAAATCCTCTATATAAATGGCCATTTTCAATAGCCATGTTAGTTTACCAGAGGGTAAAGAAAGTGTCATGGCAAGCGACCTGATGTTTGGGCCATTGTTCCTGACATCCTTCCCTGAGTACCTGAAGCCAGTCACCCTGCTTGGAACGACGCATCACGGGCCATGACATCAAGTGGACTCAAGTCTTCCCTTTTACGAGGCACGGTTCTGGTGAACCATTTTCAGGGACCTTTCCGCAGCGGACGCTTCGGCTTCGAGCTCAGCTTCGGAACGCATTTTCATGTTTGCTGGTTAAACCATTACTTTATGGACGTGCCTAATCAGAAAATAGGGGAGAAACATGGACAAACATTTGTACCAACTCAGTTCATTCCTTGATTGGCAAAGCCACTATCGTTTATTTGTTTAATTCCATATTTTGTTAAAGTCAAATGGCCCTTAGCAGTTATAACTGACTTACACTAGCTTATAATTTATAATGATATACAATCTTAGTTATATCAATTGGAATTTCAGGATCCTAAAATGGAGGTACTGTACCATATAAGACCATTTTTTGTGGGGTTCCTGAAATGGCCATTGATTATAGGAGTTATAAATCCATTTATAATTATTATCATTTATAGATCCATTATTACTTAGTATATCTTTATTCAGAGTTATAGGAGTTATAAATCCATTTATTCCATTTATAACTCCAAGCAGGGGATCGGCCAGCCGCCAGGTGTGGCTGTTGCCCAAGCAGAATTTCACAGAGGAACGGGTGGCGGCTCGGCGTCGGCGCTGGCGATGGAATATGCCATACATCTGGCTATAATTACACCTTTGTACAGTGCATGGTAATATACATATACAATCATATACATATATAGTCATATATATATACTTGTAAAAATTGCCTATGTAAGATATATGTTTATATACTATAATACGATATGTACATATATATATGTATTTATGTATATATATATATATTTACATATATATATATATATATTTATATCTACATTTAAACCATTGTACATTATTAGTTCTAGTAGCCTTCAGTTAATATCTATTGTCTACCGTTAATTAATGAATTATTCACAGATCATATATATATATATACGACTATATCTATATCATACATACATATAGTATGTATGCATGCAGTTTGCAACTGTATATACCTTTGTTTAAACCATTTATCTTATTTTTACATACATACATACATACATGCATGCATGCATGCATACATACATACATAGATACATACATATATATATATATACACATAACACACACGTATGTATATATATATATGCACACATAAGTTTCATTGTACATAGCTTGGAAGGGCTTCTCCAGCCACGTGTTGCGGCTGTCTTAGGTCCTTGAGGAGGTCTTTGCGGATGAACTGAGCCGCGAGATCTTCGAGCGCGCCATGGAAGCGCGAGGGCACCGCGAGTGCCTGGGCGAGTTACGTGTTGGTATTTTCGTGACTCAATGTGGTTTACGTGTAATTAAAACATACATATATGATATATGTATAAATGATTGCAGTTTTGTGACTGGTGTTTAATGTGGTTTAACGTGTATTAAAACACGCACACACATATTATATATATTATATGATATATGTATAAATGACTGCAAACGTGGATTTAGATACAGTAGATCATGTGTATAAGATGCATGATTTTCATGTTTTAGAGTTCGGTTGAACATTTTCATGTTTTAGAGTTTAGTACAACCATGCACAGAAAGGTAGCCTAGTTGGTTCAGCCAAGTTTAGGCAAAATTAGAAAACTCCAATTTGATCATTTTGCTTGGTCAAAACACCTTTTCTGTATATTTATGTTGCTTAATGATACCTTTTTCTCACTGGTGAAATGTCCAATTTTCACATGTGTCATGGTGAAATATCATTGTTCCTTGGTTTAAATCACATTTGTTTTATGAATTTGAGCCACCTGTCTAGCCCGGCGGATCCAGCCGCAGCCACTGAAGGCCCCGCTACGAGATCCCCAGCGCCCTGGCAGATTTGGAGCTGCCACAGGTCGTCGGATATTTTGCGCCGTCGCCAGGCGGCCCTGGGGCGGTGGCTTGGCTGGGGGCAAATCAGGGGAAATCCCTTATGACTATTGGAAGCCATGATAAGCCATGGTTCTTTCGCAGTTTCTTGTAGTTTTAGTCTTCGGTACCCGCCACCAGTGCCTGGGACCGGAGATTGTGGACGCTCGACTCCGCACGCACCCCGTCTAAAAATGGAGTATATACATGTATGTATCTTCTAAATCTTCTAACTGACCATTCGAATAAGAGCAGTAATTAATTATTGCCATCTGGTTATTTGTTACTTAGCCATGGAAAGATCTACCATTTTTGAGTTCGGTAAACCATCTATTTCTATGGGCCATCATTTTCCATGGCTATGTTAGTCATAAGCTCCATGATTTATCCCTCATGATCATGGCAAATCATGGCATATCCCCTATTTTTATGGATGGTCTTGCGGGAAAATCATCTAGAAATTTGGGATTTGTCCATTGCCATGATGGGATTTGTACGTTTTTTTTTATTATTGGGGATTCATTGGAAAATCAGTCCCCATGGAATTTCCAGTTAACTTCAAGATATCAGGTTGTTACCCTCTGGTAAACTAACGTAAATATGGAAAATCACTATTTTTAATGGGTAAACTCACTATCAATGGCCATTTTCAATAGCTATGTTAGTTTACCAGAGGGTATCAGGTTGTTAATCATGGTTTGCAATTTACTTGGCCCCCTGCAGGTTTGTGAATTGATCATAGTGTTTGCGAATTCAGAATTGTGAAACACTATGGGTCATTCAACATAGAAACTCCGGTAATTCATATCATGCCTTAAATTCGGATTCCCAACTAAACTAGCAATTTGATCGGTGAATGATAGAGGTTGTTGCATTCGTTTTTTGATTTAGGAGAAGTTGTTGGTGAGGTTCCCAACCAAAACAGGGGAACAATCATGCAACATCAGAAGATCACCAACTACACCAACGATTCCCAAATTTGCGAAACGGGGAAGAAAGTTCTTGTGGGTCCAAGTGTTAACTATCTATTGAGAACATGTAGCAACAGTAGCTGCCACAAAAGTGGAGGTAGGAGCCAAACATATGGGAATAGACATTGGCGGATCTTGGCTGGAATGACTGTGGAACAAAAGAACTTGAGGCTTCATGAGGTTCCCAAAGTCTAGGTGTGGGCATTGATAGTGATGTAGCTAAGGGATGCCAGAGCCCAAAGGTGCTAGGACCGCTAGGAATTCTTTTTTTTTAGTGACAAGCTGTCCCCTGATTTGGCTTACAGGTCAAAAGTTTGAAGCCAGGAAACCCAGATCCAGATGCTGTTTTTTTTTGTGGCAGTGAAAGTTAGGCAAATGACATGGCAACCAGTTTTGGTGGAAAACAGTTGTAAATTAGCAAACCAATGTGCAGGGTACGCTCCTGCGTTTTGGCATAGCAATGCAAAAAAAGAACACATTCAAGAGGTCAAACATCTTCTTTCACGGGTGCTTGCTTGTATTTTCAGGTAGTGTGTCAAAATGTGGCCCTGCCTTCCCAAATGCAATGGACTCGCAAAATTACCAAAAACTTTGGTTCCCTGCAAAACAGGTCCCCGGTTATAAGCTGATTAAAAGCATCTAAGTAACATATATCATATATATGTTAAAAAATCTATAACAATTAGATCAGTTAGCTTGGTTACAAGCCAACTTATATACCAACTGCTGTATGCATAAAATTATTTAAACAATGGATCAATTGGATAATAAATCTCCATGTTTGTTCGTCGTTAAATATCTTGAATTCTCTAGTCCTTATGATATCGCCTGTTGTTTGTCTCCACCTTCCGTTTGTCTCCACCGGTGACAGGCCGCGCGGGATCGCTGGGAGCCCCAAACGGGGCCGGAAGAACGGGGAAAGGCAATGGTATGCCGTAGGCAAAAAAAAACCCTTTGGAATCCAAGTTGGCTGGAAAGTACTCAATCCATCTCAAGTTGCTTCCCTTTCGTGCAGCTGCCAACAGTGGCAGAGTTTGCGCCCCTTTCTTGATGCACACCAGTACAGCCAGGGTGTCCTTTCGACGGCCGGCACAGGAACTTTCCAATCCATGATTTTTACCCATCTCCAGTTTACTTATTTGAATTTCAGAGGGATCTGGACCGACCCCCTTAAAAAAACTTAAAACGTACCCCCTTTCACCTAGGCTGAAATGTAGAGAAAGCTGTTATATTCATAACACCTCATAACCCATAGGATCCATATATGCCATATATGGTAACATGGATCCCATCAATATACCCCATTCATGTTAGCATATATACAGAAAACCATGGATCCTATGGGTAACACCTCACAACCTCCCATTGCCAAATCCGGTGGGATGAGACATGACCCACTCATACTCGAATCGCTCCCAAAATTACCTCGGTGGAATGGCTATAAATTGGAGGTCAATTCCTCTGTTTCAGACACAGCCAGATTTCATAGTGTGCATGTTTTTGTTTTTTTTTTGGCAAGGTACTTATACCACCAGGAAGTGCATGTTTTCAAAAAAGGCCAGCAAAAAAAATCCGGTGAACACAGGGCAAAACCTTGAAGATGGGGGGAACACTTCCGCACCATCCTTGTTTCTTTTTCGCTATTGAGCGGAGATGGACCATGCGTTTTTGAAACGGACCAAGCGTCGGGATCCGTAACTTTTGAGGTCAGCAGTGGCCCGGGAGCTGCAAACAGTAGAGGCACGACCTGGGAAGCCAGCCCAATGATGCTGAAAATACGCTGGATGAGCGTAAAGATATGGGGGTTTTCTGAAATGGTGGTAATTATCCCAAAATAGTTGGTTTATAATGGAAAATCCAATTAAAATTGATGATTTAGGGACACCCCCATTTCAGGAAACCTCCATATCATGAGTTGGGATACAACCCCATTGTTCGGAGATGAAGTTCTTAAAACGATTTAATTATATGTTATTTTCAATGGATTGGTTTAAGGGAAAATCTACAGATAATCTACAGGAAACCATAGAATTTCCCATTAAATATGGGCTTTTCCTGTAAATTTTCCCGGAAACCAATCCATTGTTATTTTGGTTTGGGAAGTGCTAGCTAGACACTGCAAAAAGATCTGTCCAAATCATGCGAATTGACAGTACTGCGTTCTCATGATTTGTGCAGGCGGGTTGAAACTATATATATATATACTTCAGCCATTGTTTGTTTATTCATTTACCCTCTGTAAATGGGATAATCCTTCCCATTGACTAATATTTTTCACAGGGGTTGAAACCATCAACCAGTTTTTCATTTATGCGAAAACATTGCAGAGTTGTGCGCTAGTGATAAGGATCTGACCATAAGTGATTCTTGAAAATGGGCAAATACGAAACTATCTATTTCAGTTTTGGAGATCCAAACGAACTATATAATATCTTTATTTTTTTGACAAGCATCACAATATATCACAATATATCATCCAGTAGACAAACATGGCAATGGAAACAAAAATGGTATACTGGAGTAATACATATGCTGATGATGATCATGGCGATGATGGTGATGATAATTAGTTGTGTTTGTTTTGGTTCAATGTTATATCACTATGTTTGTATGTGTAGTTACACATATAATACATTTGGTGGTTTCTTAAAATGGTGGTACCCCAAAATGGATGGTTTATAAAGGAACATCCTATTGAAATTGATGATTTAGGGGTACCCGTATTTCAGGAAACCTCCATACGTATGTTCGTCATGTTTTGTCCCGTTCCAAGCCAAACAACGTCCGACTCGGCAGGACAGCGTCGACAACATGACCAATAGCTCCAACGTGACTAGGATGAGACGCAAAATGAACTGCCGTTGGTTCAATGAATGGACATCTAGGGATACAAAGACGGGTACAAGGTGGTGCCCCCCAAGTTATAAATTGGTTTTAAGCCCATTAACTAGTAACTAGTTCGATATATCACGTATAAATACTTATTGCACCAGCTTGTATAATCATGATCATAAATTATAACAGATTTTACAGCCCCAGTTTGGGGCACAAATTCCCCTTACAAGTCGAACTGCGTCCCCAAGTACCTCCCCACAATGCCCCCGATTGATGAAGGTGTATATACTACATAAGCCCTCACGGTTGATGGTGGTATTAGCCCCTTGATAAGGTCTAATGTTTGGGGAAGCACTCATAAATATGTTGGTGCTTCAATGGGCACCTAAAGCTATAGTAACTTTATATACTTGGTAGTAGTTCTGATTATGGCCAACTTGTCGTATAGGTTGATATGGGCAATTGAAAGGAACATCAGAAGAATTTGGATGATAAAAGCAAATGGCTGCCTTTCGGCAGATTGTCATGGGAAAATGGTCTCCCTGAAGAAGTGAAATTCGGGAAATCAAATCTAAACTTAAATCTACCTTGTAGATGTTTTACAGACGCCTTCGCAAATTGGGATTACGCATCTTTCCATCTAGAAACAACGAATTTTCAAAATTTGACGCCCAAATCAATGTTCGCGGATCCATTTCACCTACCAGCTGGTTTTGTGGAACCAACATGCTTCACCAAAACGCATTTCGAAACGCTCAGGAAACGGAAGTGGTGTACCAATGCGCGCCTTGGATTACAAAATAACGTGGCCAGAATCTGGGGGGATGTTCCATGTCAAAGTCAGGGTTTCTTCTAGGCACCTTGCGGTACCACCCGTACATTATTTATATTCCTATTACCTTCTGGCAAACTAAAATAGCTATTGAAAATCACTACTTTAGTAGCTAAAAAATCATCTACAAACGGTCCATTTTCCATAGCTATATTAGATTACCAGAATGTATGTATTGCTTAAATCATTATTTTAATTGTGAAATCCAAATTATGAGTGCGTAAATCACCTATTTTGGACTAATCCATTGTTATTGAATGTTGCTGATACAGTATCCTGTTACATCAGTTGACCTGTCTACATCCCCACATCTCCCCACAAACTGATTGGTTTCATACTTTCCAGGTCCCATGTCTGGACAAACCCACATCAGATTGTTGGTTACACATGGTTATACAGTTATACAGATACATATATCCCAATTGTATATCCGGGTTCTGGTGAATTTTACACCTCCAATTCTAATGCTTAAGCCTTAAGCGCACACAAATTCATGGTCAATCTTTGGTAGTTCACTTTTTTTTTGCTGCTTATATTTCCTTATAGTGTCTTATAGTTATGTTCCATTCATAGCAAAAAAACTAAAGGATGAACACTACCTCTCCAAGGTTGGGGATTATATAATTTCAAGGTAGACCATCAACACAAACACACATATGAGACATGTTTTTGGATGTTCTTATTTGTGTAATTGCGTGTTTGGTTCTTCATATTGATTATTTAATCGGAAAAGAACATGAAACAACAAAAACACATTAAGATGTAACCTGACAAGAAACCGCAAAACACATACATTAAAAGACATCAAAAACGTCAAGTTGTTTGTGGGAATTCCTTCCTAAAGGCCTTTGGTTTGGATGAACAAACCAACATATTTGACCTTGGAGGTTACCCTCTGGTAAACAGCCACATAACTATGGAAAACCACCATTTTTCATGGGAAAACTCACTATTTCGATGGCCATGTTCAATAGCTATGTTAGTCATAACCAGAGGGTATACCCAATTAAATCCCATTAAATCCCATTAAATCCCATTAAATCCCATTAAACCACCATTTTCCTATGGTTTTCCTATGGTTTTCCTATGGTTAAATCAACACGTGTTTCGTTGACGGTTTGGTTTCCCGGAGCGAGCTCACCAGGCACCAGATATCACCACGGTGGAGCTCACACCGTGGACCAAGAGTTACTTTGGAAGGGATTTTCTGCTGGGCTAGCACTACCCGACCTGGTAAACCATAGGAAAACCATAGGAAAACCCTAGGAAAACCCTAGGAAAACCATAGGAAATGGAGGTTTACCCTCTGGTAAACTGTCACATAGCTATGGAAAATCACCATGTTTAATGGGTAAAATTCACTATAAATGGCCATTTTCAATAACTATGTTAGTTTACCAGGGGGGAACCAAAATAATTTTAATTGGGTAAAAACATAAATTCATAAACAACCCATTCGGGAGTGGTTTCTACATACCACCTATAAAAATGGTGATTAGGGTGGGTGATGGTGCAGATGGCATTATTTTACCCACATGAATATTTTCGGGGGATATGTTTATGTTGTTTTCCCTATGGGATATGTTGTTATGGGAACCATGGTTTCTAAGTTAGAATGGGGGAAGGGATTAAAGAAGCAGTCATAGGGGTCATAGGAATAGATGAATTTTCAAAAAATCATGGTGTCTTTGTGGGACTGCTTGGAAGTTGTGGTGCGTGCAATGCATTTCAATGAGGACCAATGAGGAATACCTGCCCCCAAAAGCTAACACATATATTTTATTGATGCCATAAACCGCACGTTTTTGTGATTTACCACATTAACAACTCGCGTTGAGAAAACATCCGGACGAATATATCAGATACATCAGGTTTTCCATGGCTCCTGACATTTCCACCGGTGGGGAGAATTGTCACGCTTTACAACGTGCCCCTGAATTATAAATTGGTGCATAGACCCAACCAAGTATGAATATGAATCATAAATCCGACTTAACCTACTTCCAAAGAAAATCAAAAAAAACACTCAACCATCCAAGCAGGGGGAAAAGACACCCAGTAGCTGCGCAAAGGATGCAGAGCCTATTTATACATCAATTTGGCTAGTATATAAGAGTTGGAGGCATCATTTTGTATCACCGCAGCTGTTTCAACCCCCAAGTACATACATATTTTTAAGCCACTGGTGTTGGCCCTGCTTGATAGCACCAACACCGGTGGCACGCTGCTCGGGCAGCGTGGCACGGATGTATGAGTGCTGTGACTGCCGGACAGGTGGCATCGAAGCTTGTCTCTTTGAACCCCTTGGATCAAGTACATAATGACCTGGCAATAGGACCTCTCCTACAATGTGGTGCCCCCCAGTTATAAGTTGGTTTAAGTTCCATAAACCATAGTTATAAGTTCCATAAACCATAGTTCTTGGAGTTATGTTTACCAACTTAGCTATCTTGGGGGCCTCACATGGTATAATTATTACTGTAAATGGAGGTTTTAATGGGACAATTCTCAGAAACAGGGGATTTTCCATTGCCAGGTTTGATTACTGGATGGTATTAGCATGTATTAGCTAGACTGAACCAGCCCGGGGTGCGGGTTGAACCTTTACCGATGGTAGGTTTATTCATGACATTTTTTTTTGCACATGGAAAGACTGATAACTAACTTTTCTTGGGGGTGCAGGGTAACCTAAGATTAACCATGTCCAGCAGATGATATAACTAGACATGACATGAGCTGAAACAAACTTGGTAACGATGTCATACCAAGTAGGCAGGGGACTATGCCAATTCGTAGCTGATTCCAGGGATGTACACATGGGCTGGCCAGTGCTGGTGGCCTTGTGGGGCTAAAGGGCTGAAAATTGCAAGCCCTGCCAGGATTTTACGGGTGGTCCCTTTTGAAGTTGATATACAAGTTCACCAACTTCAAATTTGAGGTGGTCATGGCATGTTATGGCCAAATCCTGGCTCCTGTTCTGTTAACATAACATGACGCAGAGGAAACATGTTGCAACCGCATTGCGTGGGTGATATATTGTGCTTGGATCATCTTGGTTCCCCAGGATTCCGCCCTCGAAGTTGGCAAAACTGCTTTCCCTGCGGTCATCAAACATAGCAATGAATTAATCACCTATAAGCCTATAAAATCCTATAAATGAAGCTTTTAATGGGAACAGGATCTAAAAAAATGGAATTTTCCAGCACGCCACGTTTGATTCCCGGAGGGTAACATCAGTTCATTGTACATATGCAAATACACCAGCACTTCGCCGACCTTTTTTTCAACCAACTTGGCTAACAAACTGAGGCATCGCCTTGATAAAATCTTATCAAAACACAATGTCCGAACCAAATCCGATTCAAATCCCATTAAAAGAACTATTCCATACTATTCCATCACTATCTTGGCTACTTAAACCCCATTAAAACAAAAGAAACATACAAAAACCTGTTAAATCACCACGACAATCCTGATTTTTGTTGGTTACATGGGTCCAAACAGATACCATCAGATACCCAAAATGTCGGTCCGCCGCTGCCGCCTCCAGGAAAAACAAAATGTGGAAACTGTGGTCCAGGAGCCAACCCTCATCAGCAACGAGCCAGTGAAAGACACCTGGGTAAAAGCTTGGTGGTTTCCAAAGATGGGGGTACCCCAAAATCATCGAAAATATGTTATTGCCGATGAAAAGAAACAGTGGTTTGGGGTACCCGTATTTCAGGAAACCTCCATATTCAATTACATATACGTCCACATATGATCACATATATACATATACATACATATAATCATATATACATATACATACATAAGTATATATAATATATACTGTATTTTTGTCTATATATATAAATAAATAAATAAATATATATATATATATTTACTATATATATATATTTATTTATTTATTACGCATATACATACACATATGCGTACACATGTATGTACATACTTAATGCATGTGCATCTAGGATGATATACATGCACATATGTTCTATATATGTTATATATATATGTCTTCCTTTGATCACTAAACTGCGGGTAAAACGTGGTTGCGAAGGTTAAGCGTTCATTTTTTGGGGGGGCGACTATAGGCGGCACTTCATGTTCTGCTCTACCTCCCATGGCCTGTCGCTGGTTTTGAACATGAAGCCGCTGAGTTACTGAGTTGTTGGAGCTGCTTTGTTTGACGCTTGCCCATGTATCATGTACAGAAACTGTTGCAGCATCACCTTATTCTTGGTTCATGGCGCCACCATGAACCTTTCACTCCAATCACCCCAATGTGAGGCCACACATTCAACGAGAAACCAGTTTACCCTACTGCATAGTTGGATGATCCCTGTGCGCAATATAAATACGCATAGGTATGCATACTGCATATACAAAGATTCAAAGATATATCAATTTGAATTTCAATGTTTTTAATGTAGTAATCACAAGTATGTCATATATACGTACATATAAGGGAATACACGCACACACACAAACACGTATATTTATACATATATTTATGCATATTTGATCATATCTGCATGCTACTATACATACATACATATATATATATATACCTGCGTGTGTGTATCCTATGCTCACTGCTCCCTATTGCTTCATTGTCAAGTCCTGGTCCTGGGAGTCCCTGGTCCCTGGCCTTGAGGAAATGACGTCCTTGCCCATCGCAGAGGACAAAAAAAATGAAGACGAGTGCTTCGTTATATGGAAGCGGGGGGATTTAACGTGAATTTCTTGGTTCAAGTTGGTTCAATGGCCATTTCAGGAACCGATTTATTGGAGGTACCTACCATATATAAGGCCTATTGTTCAGGCCTATGTAAGGAGATATATCCCCAAAATATGGCCTTATATATGGCCTTTTAGGATCCTGGAATTCCCATTGATTTGTGGGTGGATAGGATTTTGTGAGAGCATTGAACTAGAAATGGGATGCAAACTTCGTTGATGGCCTTATTTCATCATCCTACTGGGACGGTGATCACACCGATGAAAAAAATTGAAGCGGACAGGGTGTCAATGCCCTCGAAACCGAAAACGCAGCTATTGTAGATCACCACATTGATGATGTTTGGATGCGGAACGCATCCAGGGATAAAATCTATCCAGGTAGGATTCCTCGGCCTTGGAGTGTTTTATATAGGGGTTTACCTGAAGCTAGTATGTCTCTGGATCCATTGGTTAATTTCACAAGTTCCCTATAGTCAAACAGCCATTTTGTGGCATCCCTATTTTTAGACACCCACAGTTTCTCATTTTGTTTGAGAGGAACATCTTAATCTGTTGTTAAACTGTTACCCATATCATATCCCAGACTTGGGTAAAGAGACATAAACAGAACTCTTATCCTGGTTATTATATGTTGTTATCCATTATTGGATTATTATAATGGGCTAATCCATCCCATTCTCATCCCATTATCCAAGAACAGATAATCATAAACCCGCTACTTCCCGCCAGAACTCAGGATTTTCGAGGTGAGTTCTCTAAACCTTGCAGTTGCTCTGGGCTACGCGGGCGCCAAGCAGAAGTTTGCACTGCGGGAGACACACTCCTCCTCCGCCTCAGTGATGAGTTTGCGCAGCTCGACCTGGTAGACCACAGGGAAAAACCACAGGTGGATGGCAAAGCTTGTTTAAAAAATGATCACAGTAGCATCATAGTATTGTTTTTACTGGAGAAATACGTGTATATATATATATGGGTAAATTGTAACGACCTCACTGCGACCTCACTGGAATCATGGTTAATAAGGGGAATCATCCCCAAATGGCCTTAATTCAGGTTAGTGATTTATTGTAATTTACCCATATATATATATGAGGATATATGTATATATTGTTTATACATATATTTGTGTATTTATATGTGTTTTTGATATATATATATATATATCTGTGTGTGTATACGCATCGGCAAATGGGACCGCAAATGTGAATAGACCACAGTGTTTGGGTGTGGCGGGGAGTGATTTTCTTGGATACCCATCCGACACGTACCTCCTCCCCATTAAGAACAAAATGGGGACGAAAACAGTAATAAGTAATAAACACAGTTTTATTGCAACTAAACACATACATGGATAAGCAGATTTATAATGATTTATATTTGGTTGGTGGTTTGGAACTTTTTCCCGAGAGCGTCTGAGCGCAGGGTTCTTCCAATAGTGGGG